TCTTCCACACACTCCAGGAACCTCCCATCAGACATAATACATGAAAGCATTCATTCAGCTATTTATAGCATCAACTCATGGAAAAAAAAATGTATCCTCTTTGCAATGACAAATAATAAACTGAAGACAGTATATATAATACATGCATACTTCCCAAAATAATTTGTTGCATCTTAGTTTCCTCAAAATTACTTAAACACAAAAATAATTGACATTGAATGTTTTTCCTCCAAAAACATGAAATTAACTCAAATATCACCTAACGAGGTTTTATCTACAGTTTTGATTAAAAAAAAAAAAAAGGCTTGAAAGGATGTAGGGGAAAATGTGGTAAATAATTACAGTTAACTGTAATTTCTCTTATAGAGCAGATAGATTTCAGGATGACAGTATTCCTCATTATAGCACTTCTGGTTTTTCTATTTTATTGCTTTATAAGTCCTTTCATTTTTAGTCTTACCATAACTTAGCTGTCTCCTTGTTCCTTATGATCCTTTTGATTCAGGATGCAGAATAGAAAACTGCGACTCCTGCTTTAGCAGAGACTTTTGTACCAAATGCAAAACTGGCTTCTACTCGCACAGAGGCCGCTGCTTCCGAGGATGCCCCCCAGGATTTGCAGCCTTGGAAGAGCTTATGGAGTGTGTGGGTGAGTCTTCTAGCACAACAGTGCTGCCGAAGCAGCTCTTTTGCCAGGTGAACAGGTTCGAATACTTATGACACTATTTTTAAGCTGATGCTTAGTACTTTCTATCCAGGAATATTCACTAATAGATTTTGTCTGGATCTCTTGACCCCTAATAATAATAATCAATAATAGTAACAGGAGTTTTTTCCAAACTTTGAAATACTGCATTATTGGGTTCTGCATCAGAAAGTTCTGTCCTCTTAATTGTAAATCACCTTGTATGAGGATTTATAACTCTGAATTCAGAAGATTTCAGGAAGGCCAGTTTTTGCATTAGAACTTTAAGTCAATGACATACTCATTGGACTCTTGCCCTTATAAAAATACCTGCTCATTTTGCCTTTTACCAAAGCCAGAAATCAGGAGCAGGGCAGATTGAATTCCTGTAGCATCTGGGCTTCAAATTCACCTTTAGTTTCTCTGCTGCTCCCCCCTTTTCCATTAGCAACTAACAAATATAAACCACCAAATAAGTGTTTTTAGTAGAAATTTACTTTATAACTTTCAGCCAGCATTGGCAGTTCTCACAATATTTCTCAAGTCTCACAATTTGGTGTTTTATCTTGAAGCCTGGGAATTGTGTCAGAACAGACTTTTTCTTTCAAGAGTATTCCTTGCATTTCATGACGGAGAGGACCTGGAAATGTGAACTCTTGAGCTTTGCAAATCCGGGTAACAAGAAAATAGGATTTATTTATTAAAAAGAGAAAAATTTAAATAAATCTCATGATTTTAGGAGGGTTTTTGAATATTTGGGACTGACATGATGTCTATATGTCTATACAGATTGATAGTCTGATGGTTTTATGCTCAGGTTGATGCCGGCCAAAAAGATTCAGGTTCTGTAAGAGATTTTAATTTTGTTTCTAAGTTTTTGCCTGTTGACAGTAAAACTGTCAGGTGGTGCTTTCTAATAGTGTATTGTAATTTAAAAAAAAAATTAAAACAAAGAAAAAAAGCCAAGAAGAATTGCTGACTCGTGTTTTCTTTTGCTTTATCAGAAGGCTGTGAAGTGGGTCAGTGGAGTGAGTGGGGAACTTGCAGCAGAAATAACAAAACATGTGGATTTAAGTGGGGCCTGGAAACGAGAACAAGACAAATTGTGAAGAAGCCAGCGAAAGACACGATACCGTGCCCAACCATTGCAGAATCCAGACGGTGTAAAATGGCCATGAGGCATTGTCCAGGAGGTAAGCGTAGTCCATGCCACAAAAATCTTTATGAGCTTTCCTTAACTGAAATCCTATTTCTAATTTGAAAAAAGAGCTACTTCATCCCAGCTGAAGGGGAAATCATTTCTCTGCTCTGCCAGCCAAGGCTGAAAGGCAGCAGTGCTACGGCAGTCCTAATTTGTGCAGCAAGACTCCAGGGAAAGGCTCAGCGTGGGAGTGATCAGTCTCTCAGTAGAGTATGAAACTGTCTTTTTCCTGATGTGGTGCTGAGGCTTTTTCAAAGAGGTTCCTCGTGGAAGAACCATAACAGGTTGCAGTTTGAGCTTCATCATGAAAACAATAGTGATAGTGGAATAACTAATTGCTCTGTGCGTGGAAAGATTATGATTCTAACCTCTCTGCAGGTAGCACACCCAGTACTGGTGCGATGGGTATTTAAATTAAATTAAATGGGCATTTAAATTAAATGAAGTTAGTTACACATGGCATTGTTAGCTGGAACTATTAGCTGGAATGTATTACTTGTTCTGAATATTGTAGATCAGGGCCAAACTATGACAGATGTGATACAAGCAGAATAGTGACAGATACCAAGCTTTTCAGCATGAGACCAGCTTATGGAAATTACCACGAGTAGATAAAAGAAATAATCAAATTTCTTTATCATGGTGTTCTAAGACTTAAGTAGTGATGCTGATTTGAAAAAGGAAATGGAGTTTCAAATTTGTGTTCAGTTTTGTAGACCCCAAAGTGGAGACAAGTCATTGGTAGAGAGGAGTTTTTGTTATCTTTTAAATTGAAATGATTAACCTTTCACTTGTGCAGACTGAACACTTACAGAGTTTTCAGAATTTGCAGGAGAGGTGGGTGATCAACAGGTGATAAAGATGCCATTCCTTCTGGAATCATAGGATTAAAGGAAGATTCAGGCTTGAAGGGACTTCAAGAGTTCTCTAGTCCAACCTCCCTGGCAAGCTGGGTCCACCATGAGATCAGACAAATAAAAAGGAATAAAGGGTTGCAGAGTCCTGAGAAAAGCCATAACCTGATGAATAAGCTAAAACTGAAATAATCTTAGAATAGGTACATAAATAAGTTTGCTTTGTGTTCTGGGATTGTTGAATATGTCTTTCTTGGCTTGAACATACTGCCCACCAGTAAGCGTGAAAATTATATGTAAAGTTTTAGTTTACAGATTAAATCTGTGCAAGCTTCATTTTTGTCTCTAGGACCTTGCCACAATCTGGAAGAGAATATAAAAGTGATTCTCTGTTACCCAGGTTAACTGAGTCTGTTATGCACTCTCCATCACTGTCCCACTCCCTATACTCATACACACGTGCATGCGCATGTTGTGCATGGTCATAGTGGTACTGGGATGCATTGTATGGCACAGTTAATCTGCAACCTAAATAAACTTCTCAAAGACATTGAAGAGTGGAACCTACAAAAAATCTCTATAGGAAGGAAGAAGAAAAGGTAAAATCAAGGCTGATTTGGGCTGCCATGGTATGTGTCTCATGGTATCTTTGAATGCGAGTCAGCTGCATCTACATCAAGGTAGCTACGCTTCCTAGTGCTTGCAGCCTGCTGAGGTGGATGAGCTGTTCCAGTTACTTCTAACAAACTCTGAAGCCCAAATGGGGTTAGTGATCAGATCAACTGGGGAAATGTTTTACTGCTAAAACGGAAGGAAGAAAAAAGAGCCTGTGTGAAGTTCTACAAAATCTCCAATCAATATTTTCTTTTTTTGCTGTTCAAATGCATGAAGTTTAGCTTGTAGTAGAAAATTTGAGAAAATTGCAGAATATTTTCAACTTAATTCCATGTGGTAGAGATTTAATCATTTATGTACCCAATGTGTATAGAGGGAGGTATTTCATGGATGCAATGTCCAGCTTCTATATAAACTCCTGGCAAGTAGAAATTTACAGATGTGGGTTTAGTCTTCATGATTTAGTTAGGATATTAGTTGTTGTAATTAGTTTGAGAAGTGTGCTTAAGTGGACCACAATATTTGTGAATGCTGTAGCATGCTCATGTAATTGTGGTAATCTGGAGTTATGGAACATTCATACCTTTTTGTATGTTTAGGTTGTTTCAAATTTTCTTGTCCAGCAATTCAGGTCACTGATTAAAGATCTACCTCTCAAATTTTATCATCTTTTCAAAGGCACAGTGGTGGGCTTTCCTAAGAGTTAGGAAATCTATTGCCTAGTCTATATCAAGATCTTTGACCAAATATCTGCATTTTTTTCACTAAGTATCAGGAAAGTTGTTGCTGCAAATACAAATTCAGTGTGAAAGGCTTTGTAGTACTCTTTCATAACCATGGGCTCCAGTAAATCCTAAAGATTACAGTCCTCTCCTGTCCTCCCATGGTGTGGAATTCCCTGCCTGTGTTTTCAGAGATAAAAATAAAAATGTACAAAACTGCAGGTTTGAACTCTCAGCACTGAATGCTGATGCTTAATACTGCTTCTGTGCAATCGTATAAAACACTGGCCAGGTATAAACTCCTTTCTCTCTCCTGAGAAACTCCTGGGAGGGAGTGTGTTAGTGGTGTTTTAAGTGCCTGGGGTAAGTCTTCCCCAGGCCTGCTTATCTCTGCAGGTGAGGAAGCCACAGAAATTGTCCTGTTCAAAACTCCTGTTTCGTAGTGTGTTTTAATTATGTTTATATACACAACTGGCCTAAGATCCCATTCCTTTATCATATTTAATTAGTTAGCAGGTTGCCCCATTAGACACCCAAAATGTTTCTTTGCTTGCTTACTCACTGCGAAGTAGCAGGAGGCAGAGACGCTGGGAAGCTGAAATCGAGCAGATCCTGGCTGTTAAGGAAGAGATTCTGTGTTTTTAAAAATATGGTGTTTTCCTAATGTTAGAAATTTTGTAATTGAACTTTTAAACTGAGGAAATAAGAGGAAAATGTAGGGTTAGCACTACTGGGGGACTGAAGAACCATAATCCCTGGTATAAATGTTGGTTGAGAGGCTGTTAATAAATCCTTTCTTCCTAATGTTCTCAGTACATAAACTCACACAAATGTGTAGGATAAGTATTGGATTATACAGCTAAGATGGTTGTAGATTGTGATGGATTAAACTGAGCACAGGAAGTAAGGATATTTTTGGTAGAACAGGGTCAAATAAAGTGCTTTTGACACATGCTTTCTACTTCTGTACCTTTTGCAGTTACTATTTATGGTCCACATTACAGAAAAACTTCCGAAACAGATTTTTACATGTTTGCAGAAGAAGTGGAGTTAAATTCAGTTTTCCTACTAAGTACTTCAGTTTCATATTTATCAAGGATTGAGATGTTACCCATCTGGCCATATGGCTGTGGTACAAATTAGCTGATGAAGAAGAATTCTGTATCACTTTCCCAATATTTACAGAGTTGTAGAGATACAAGCTGGAATGCAAGTGGAAGATGATTTCATTTCTTTCCTACTGAAGCCAGCAACAAAAGAGAATACTCTATTTGATTTCAAATATGTTACTCAGTGGTATTTTCTTATTGTCAGTACTAATTGATGTAACTGTTTTTACCAGATGGGAATGTCGCGTTTGTGTATCTGTTCGTGTTATGTATGTTACCCTGTGGCTTGGGTGTAACATGACTCATACTGTGAGAGGTTAGACTTAGAAGAAGATGACTTGGATCGTTCAGGCCACCTCCTATCCATGCTGGTCTCTTCCTGATAAGGAATTTTCTCCTCTTTAGCTCAAAAAGAAAGAAAAAAAGAATTTTTAAAAAAGAGTGATTGTGTTATAAGCAATGGGGAAATTAGCAGGCAGAACTGTCCCATGGGCTGATACAGCTTGCTGTCTAGAAGTTTTCCCATGTATTTATTATAAATAGTCTCTTTTTACCTCTTATTTTTACTTGTTCCCCATGTTCACCTCAGTAAATCACTCCTCTTTTTTTTGTACCCTGGAGGTACTTGCAGATTGCTCTCATGTTTCTCATTAAGTATTACAAAGGCAAGCAAAGCAGCTCTCTACTTCTTTTAGTCTTCCATCAGACTGCAGTTTTTCAAGTTATCATCTGATATACGAATATTGCTCTATTATTTCTAGTAAAAATCATGATGTCATTTCTGAATGCTTATTTCGGACATGAAGAAAGAGAGGTGAAGATGGGATGTATGTCTGCATTAATTTTCTGAGCTCGAAAGAGGGAAAGTAGCAGGACAGGTCATGAGACTACAGTGGGAGGGAGTTCTTTCCTTGACACAGATGGACTAATTGGATGGACTTCATGCTGCTTGATTGGACTTTGGAGGCTTTTTATGCAGTAATCTTTCTTCTTTCCATTGCTGCAATAGAATTTAAGACTTCTGGAAGAGCAACAGTAAAAAGACCCAATCAGACTTTCTGTCCTCATACTGCAGTTACATTATTAATATTCAGAAATTATGACTGAAAAGATTAAAAGATTAAAAAATATATACTTAAATATAGAAAACTAATAAATATGCAAAGCTGCAAAATACATGTTAACTAAGTAGTGTGAGTTCTTTTAGTCTGATAAGCTACTAGTGATAGGGCAAACAGGGAGTTAATGATCCCAGTTTGCAAAAATATTTAAGGTATGTTAAACAATACTTAGAGTAAAACTGTACATACACTTTGGTGAAGTCACTAGCTATAAACTTAAAGTATACTAAACTAGCATAATTTCTTATAGAAGCTATGTTACAGGTATAGTTATCTCTAGTAGGTAAGTATTTTTTCCTTCTTTAAATTGACTATTTCCTCTGAGAGTGAATGTTTTAAAATTTCTGGCTTTAACTTGACAACCTGCAGTGTAAAGGGTCAAAAATGTTCTTGTGTTGTCCCTCCCACTCCCCCTGAAAGTTTGGTGCTAACATTTGTTTTCTTCTGAAACCTGGCAAAGGAAATCAGGATTTCTCTCTTTTATTAGATTTATTTAGAAGAGGCTAACTGAAGAATTTTTTAGATGCACAACCAACAAAGTCATAGAATTATTGAGTAATACAGGTTTGAAGGGACC